CATGTTGGTGTCCTATTTGAAATGGCATTTCACTGCTCACGCTCCCTGGTGGTCTAGTGGCTAGGATTCGGCGCTCTCACCGCCGCGGCCCGGGTTCGATTCCCGGTCAGGGAAAGTACACTTTATGTCTGTCTGTGACTGTGAATTTGCTGCTTGACAATAGTAATGTTGATCATTTGTCAATTTCATGAAATCATGCAACGGAAATGTTGCTTTGGCGAAGAGGATTTCTTGTCACCAACAATGACTGAAGGCTGCAGTCCACCGCGCTCTACGTTCTAGCTGCGAGGAGGACGCCACAGCTGATCGCAGCCATTCTGGACAAAGTGGCTCTCTGCTTTGCTCAGTGGAAAATACGAGGCTAGTCTATTGTTGACAGAAGCTGCGTAAAGCTGCACCGAGCAGATCAAATTGCCCAGGAAGTCAGACACTGAAACAGCATAGAGAATCCGATCAAAAAAGACAAAACACTTGTCTGTTAGGTCTGTTTATGTTTATGTGATTAGAAGAGATGTGTGAATTAGCTGCTTGACAATAGTAATAATGATTCTCTTACCACTGCTACGCAGACGACACGCAACCCTACCTATCCTTCCCGCCAGGCGATCCCACTGTCTCGTTGCAGATCACGGACTGTCTATCGACATATCTGCATGGATGAAGGCTTGCGACCTTCAACTAAACCTCTCTAAGACTGAACTCTTGGTCATTCCAGCCAAGCAATCTATCCACCATAACATCAAACTACAAATTGACTACGCAACCATCACTCCAACCAAGGTGGTGAGAAACTTGGGTGTCATGATTGGTGACCAGCTGTCCTTTTCAGACCATGTTGCTACTGTCTCTCGGTCATGCCACTTGTATATACAATACAATGATCTTGTATTGATTGCACTTTTTGTTAACTCTTACTTCCTTCCCTAGGTATTTACCCCATTGATGTGATATGTACTGTGAGCTCTTACTAGTATTTATTGCTGCTCTTACTAGTATGTATTGTCAGTAGTTGATGCTCTGTTGATGCTTGTATGTTGTTCCTCAAATGTAAGTCGCTTTGGATAAAAGCGTCTGCCAAATGAGTAAATGTAAATGTAAATGATCATTTGTCAACGTCATGAAATCATGCAACAGAAACGTTGCTTTGGCGAAGAGGATTTCTTGTCACCAACACTGACTGAAGGCTGCAGTCCACCGCGCTCTGCGTTCTGGCTGCGAGGAGGACGCCACAGCTGATCGCAGCCATTCTAGACAAAGCTTGGGATTCCACCAGATGCGCCGCAGAGCGATTCAGAAGCGGCTCTCTGCTTTGCTCAGTGGAGAATACGAGGCTAGTCTATTGTTGACAGAAGCTGCGTAAAGCTGCACCGAGCAGATCAAATTGCCCAGGAAGTCAGACACTGAAACAGCATAGAGAATCCGATCAAAAAAGACAAAACACTCTGCCTGTTACTTAAGTCTGTATATGTTTCTGTGATTGGAAGAGATGTGTCTTTGTGTTGCCACTACTGTTTCTATGGCTTCCATATAAAAGATATATTTGACTGCTTTCTAAGTTATCCACATAGGCATAGCTGCACAAGCTGATGGAACATGTTGGTGTCCTATTTGAAATGGCATTTCACTGCTCACGCTCCCTGGTGGTCTAGTGGCTAGGATTCGGCGCTCTCACCGCCGCGGCCCGGGTTCGATTCCCGGTCAGGGAAAGTACACTTTATGTCTGTCTGTGACTGTGAATTTGCTGCTTGACAATAGTAATGTTGATCATTTGTCAATTTCATGAAATCATGCAACGGAAATGTTGCTTTGGCGAAGAGGATTTCTTGTCACCAACAATGACTGAAGGCTGCAGTCCACCGCGCTCTACGTTCTAGCTGCGAGGAGGACGCCACAGCTGATCGCAGCCATTCTGGACAAAGTGGCTCTCTGCTTTGCTCAGTGGAAAATACGAGGCTAGTCTATTGTTGACAGAAGCTGCGTAAAGCTGCACCGAGCAGATCAAATTGCCCAGGAAGTCAGACACTGAAACAGCATAGAGAATCCGATCAAAAAAGACAAAACACTTGTCTGTTAGGTCTGTTTATGTTTATGTGATTAGAAGAGATGTGTGAATTAGCTGCTTGACAATAGTAATAATGATTCTCTTACCACTGCTACGCAGACGACACGCAACCCTACCTATCCTTCCCGCCAGGCGATCCCACTGTCTCGTTGCAGATCACGGACTGTCTATCGACATATCTGCATGGATGAAGGCTTGCGACCTTCAACTAAACCTCTCTAAGACTGAACTCTTGGTCATTCCAGCCAAGCAATCTATCCACCATAACATCAAACTACAAATTGACTACGCAACCATCACTCCAACCAAGGTGGTGAGAAACTTGGGTGTCATGATTGGTGACCAGCTGTCCTTTTCAGACCATGTTGCTACTGTCTCTCGGTCATGCCACTTGTATATACAATACAATGATCTTGTATTGATTGCACTTTTTGTTAACTCTTACTTCCTTCCCTAGGTATTTACCCCATTGATGTGATATGTACTGTGAGCTCTTACTAGTATTTATTGCTGCTCTTACTAGTATGTATTGTCAGTAGTTGATGCTCTGTTGATGCTTGTATGTTGTTCCTCAAATGTAAGTCGCTTTGGATAAAAGCGTCTGCCAAATGAGTAAATGTAAATGTAAATGATCATTTGTCAACGTCATGAAATCATGCAACAGAAACGTTGCTTTGGCGAAGAGGATTTCTTGTCACCAACACTGACTGAAGGCTGCAGTCCACCGCGCTCTGCGTTCTGGCTGCGAGGAGGACGCCACAGCTGATCGCAGCCATTCTAGACAAAGCTTGGGATTCCACCAGATGCGCCGCAGAGCGATTCAGAAGCGGCTCTCTGCTTTGCTCAGTGGAGAATACGAGGCTAGTCTATTGTTGACAGAAGCTGCGTAAAGCTGCACCGAGCAGATCAAATTGCCCAGGAAGTCAGACACTGAAACAGCATAGAGAATCCGATCAAAAAAGACAAAACACTCTGCCTGTTACTTAAGTCTGTATATGTTTCTGTGATTGGAAGAGATGTGTCTTTGTGTTGCCACTACTGTTTCTATGGCTTCCATATAAAAGATATATTTGACTGCTTTCTAAGTTATCCACATAGGCATAGCTGCACAAGCTGATGGAACATGTTGGTGTCCTATTTGAAATGGCATTTCACTGCTCACGCTCCCTGGTGGTCTAGTGGCTAGGATTCGGCGCTCTCACCGCCGCGGCCCGGGTTCGATTCCCGGTCAGGGAAAGTACACTTTATGTCTGTCTGTGACTGTGAATTTGCTGCTTGACAACAGTAATGTTGATCATTTGTCAATTTCATGAAATCATGCAACGGAAATGTTGCTTTGGCGAAGAGGATTTCTTGTCACCAACAATGACTGAAGGCTGCAGTCCACCGCGCTCTACGTTCTAGCTGCGAGGAGGACGCCACAGCTGATCGCAGCCATTCTGGACAAAGTGGCTCTCTGCTTTGCTCAGTGGAAAATACGAGGCTAGTCTATTGTTGACAGAAGCTGCGTAAAGCTGCACCGAGCAGATCAAATTGCCCAGGAAGTCAGACACTGAAACAGCATAGAGAATCCGATCAAAAAAGACAAAACACTTGTCTGTTAGGTCTGTTTATGTTTATGTGATTAGAAGAGATGTGTGAATTAGCTGCTTGACAATAGTAATAATGATTCTATTACCACTGCTACGCAGACGACACGCAACCCTACCTATCCTTCCCGCCAGGCGATCCCACTGTCTCGTTGCAGATCACGGACTGTCTATCGACATATCTGCATGGATGAAGGCTTGCGACCTTCAACTAAACCTCTCTAAGACTGAACTCTTGGTCATTCCAGCCAAGCAATCTATCCACCATAACATCAAACTACAAATTGACTACGCAACCATCACTCCAACCAAGGTGGTGAGAAACTTGGGTGTCATGATTGGTGACCAGCTGTCCTTTTCAGACCATGTTGCTACTGTCTCTCGGTCATGCCACTTTGCTCTATACAACATAAGAAAATCAGGCCCTACCTCACTCAGTACGCCACCCAGCTTCTGGTACAGGCCATGGTTATCTCTCGCATCGACTATTGCAATGCCCTCCTAGCAGGTCTTCCAGCTTGTGCGGTGAAACCCTTACAAATGGTTCAGAACGCAGCAGCACGTCTGGTTTTTGATCAGCCCAAAAGGACTCATGTCACTCCATTACTCAGTGACCTCCACTGGCTCCCCGTGGCCTCCAGAATCAAATTCAAGTCACTAATGCTTGCATACAGAGTGACTACTGGGTCTGCACCCATCTACCTAAACTCCATAATACAAACTTACGTTCCTTCTCGGCCGCTACGCCTCTCCAACGAACGCCGCCTGGCTCTGCCATCCCTTCACACAGAGCAATCCCAGTCCCGGCTATTCGCATCTGTGACACCACAATGGTGGAACGAGCTACCACACGCCATCACAGCAGGGACGTCCCTCTCTAACTTCAAGAAGCTCTTGAAAACTCATCTCTTCCGAGAACACTTCCTCTTATAACACCTCTAACTCCTAACCTCTAACATGCACTTCCTGTGCTCTTCTTCTTCTATCCCCTACAATGATCTTGTATTGATTGCACTTTTTGTTAACTCTTACTTCCTTCCCTAGGTATTTACCCCATTGATGTGATATGTACTGTGAGCTCTTACGAGTATTTATTGCTGCTCTTACTAGTATGTATTGTCAGTAGTTGATGCTCTGTTGATGCTTGTATGTTGTTCCTCAAATGTAAGTCGCTTTGAATAAAAGCGTCTGCCAAATGAGTAAATGTAAATGTAAATGATCATTTCGGCACAAGCTGATGGAACAGGTTGGTGTCCTATTTGAAATGGTTGTCTACTGGTTAGGATTTGTCAGTCTCATAAAAGATTATAATAAAAAGGAACAGATATGAATTAGTGTTAACTAAAAGACTATGTTCCTACCTTTGGCCCATTTTGTGGGATATTCAGTCGATGAAGGACATGCTGGGAGAACGCTCTAAACATCCCTTCACTGTAGCAGTCTGAGATCTGCCGTCAACACATCAAAAAGTGTCAATGACATCCACACATGCAATATATTTCATCTATTCAAATGATTATTTTGTTTTTAGAAAATGAATTGATGGCAATCTGAATCCGGCTACTCTAGTGCACTGCAATGGGTTATGATGAAAAATATGTATCACCCTTGAAATCTGTCTATCATAAACATATTTCCTAATCTCCCAAGAATGAATAACATATGAGCCAATGCATTTCTCAAGTCTAAAAATCTCACAAACACACACTGCTTCACTGCAGTTGTAAATGTGGGCACATGAATATAAACATGACATGTGCTGCAGGGCAATCGCAAGCATCAGCTTGAGGCTGACCTATCAATATTTCACACCTCAAGGCTGGAACCACAGGACAATGCACATTTACATGGTATCATCTTTGTAGTAATCTCCTTGGAATTATCATTTAAATAACATAAGCACTTGCTGAGCTTTTGAATACATCACATAAATATTTGACTTGAACTGCATGTTTCACGACTAAAACCGGATATCATTGTGCATGTGGGGACGAATGTCCAATAAAGGCTTTTAATAAATCTATCACAAAAATATTTAAATGATTACACAAACAAGGCAGCATTGAAACTACGAGATGCTGCAATTTGTTCAAAGCAAATACATGTACATAATAAAGTACATCTGTTTAGTGGCCACACACACAAACACACACACATATACATGACAGGTAACTTACGAGAGGTGTGTTATAAAAGAGGCCATATCTCATTCTCGGGAGGAGGGAGAAGAAGGCATCTTTAAAACACACCTATGGACAAAGTGTAAATAAATCAATGTAGTAAGCATACAGAATGGCACAGAAATCAGTTTGTGTATATGTCATGCTGTTGTACACGAATGCATGCGTACTTCATACATCTTCAAGTGCTTTACAAAATATGGGAATGATGATTTGGGTGTACAAGACCAATTAGGCAATATATAGTAAACATAAAACCTGCACATTGCTGTGGTGTTTTTGAACTGCTATTCTCAGAGATCACTCAAGCACATATTTCTTATTTGTTCAGCCATGGCTGGTCATACTAACTTAACAGCTTCTTACATATATCATCAATACCATTTTTGCTACTTGTGGATACACCAAACACAATATTTCCAGTGAGGATTTTTCCTGAAAAAAAAAGCCAGGACAGGTTCTGTAAAACCACTCTAAAGACTTTAGTTAACTTTCATAGACTAAAAACAACCAATTTTGAGTAAGTGATGAGTTTAACACCTTTACAAAGCAGGAGTATAAAATGTCCAGCCAGAGGTGACATTATACCTACTCTTTTTGAGTCATAGGTCTTCAGGTGTATGATGTCGTAGTCTGAGAAAACCCTCCATGTTTCACTGAACAGATCTCCATAACCATAAAAACTCTGGGGAAAAAAACATGAAATATTGTTACATTAGAAATGAAAAAAACAGCAAAAGTTAAATCAACTACAGCCTTTAGCAGTGCCAGAGTCATCTGTTTAAAAACACAAGTTTTGGTTTTATACAAAATCTGTTATCACATTATCTGACAGTCTGCTGCTGTTTGGACTGCTGTGTGCAGTTTGTGCTGAAAGGTCACTGCTTTCCTTCTCCTTGACAGTTTTCTCTCCTTCCCTTTCCTCTTAACCTCTGTGCACAGTGGGGGGAACAATGGGCCGGATAAGGCTGTCTGTAAAGCATTCTGTTTTTCAACTGGTGTTTCCCCTTGATGTCTTCATCAGGCACATACGCCACTGAATTGTTAAACAAAAACCGTGACTGTAGTACATTATAGACAAACTACAGTGTGGCTTTCTGGCTCGGTTGCTGTATTCAAATCCAATCTCAATTTTAAGATACTTATTTACTTATTTCAAATATTTGTATTACTCCGTGTTTCCTCTTCACCATTTGTGAGCAAATTATGTATAACATAATTAAGTGGGGAAAACAACAGGTTTTACTTTCTTTTTAAAAAAATACATTTTTATTTTACAAAATACTTTCCCTCTCTGATGTTACTCTGGACAATATCATCACAGACAATATTACATAGAGAGAGAAAGCTAAAATATATTGCTGCATCTGCAATATGAATCTTAATCAAACTAATCTTATGCATCAACATTTGGAAAACGTGTTTGATCTTTATTATTCGAGAACAAATCAACTCTTCTCTCTATATGGAGGCTGAGAACTGCCTTCATATAGGATTTATTTCATAAATGTATATTTATTTCTTGTTAGCTAGAAGACGTCATCAACAATTCACTTGAGACAGGACACATGGAAAATCCTGTCTGGTGTTTCATTTTGACAAATAATTAAAGGTGTGACATGAACTTCCTAAACATTTATCTTCTTTTATCGCAGTCTGCAAGGGTGAAAAAGTGTAATTGAAAAAAAAAGTGAAATTAAACAAGTCGTTTATGATTTGTTATCATTTCCGGTGGTCATAGCAAGCACGTTCATTTGAACTTGAACAGCTATGTATCCCTAACTACAGAGTATGTGTAGCTAACCTTAAACAGAAACAACAAACTACAGAACATATCTACCTTACACCCTCCTTTCCATTGAAACTGTAATAGGAGCCTTCTGGTACCCACCGTGTCCCACATGATGATGTTAATATCTGAGCTGAAGGAGTTGTTAATGTGCTGGGAGATGTAGAGGTTGACAAAGTCACAGAAATGGTGGTACATGTTCACTCCTAGTACAGAAACACACAATTATTATTTTTGTCATCATGTAAAGACAGAAAGCGGAAAAAAGTCAACTGTGAACATCAGTCTGATGTTAGGCCTGTCATTAAAAGAGGAACAAATCTCTGGAGTCCAGCTCTCAAGACATTACTCAGCAAGGGTTCTATAAAGTTTGGTGGAATCCTTGCTATTGCATGCTGGAAGCATGAATTAACTGCAAAAACATCTTCATCCAGTGTCTTGCAAACAAGTTGAATGTGCACACGTCCAAAAGAGCATGTGTTTTTTATTAAGGTGTAATACGTGCAAAGGTTTTAGCTACTTGTTTAGACTGCAGGGCTTTAAATTGAGTCACATAAACCTTTGTTACTTACCAGCATCCAGTTTCATGAAAACAGTGGGTTTTTCAATGATGATGTCACAGTGTGCGTCCTCAGTGGGATGAAAGTCCAGCTCAGTGTATGTCTGCAGCTCAGCATACCTGCAAAAAACAGCACAGCACATAAGTATACTATAACAAACATTACAACCCAAAAACATTTATAATAGTGACTTAACAGAGAATTAATTTATTTTAATACTCCCTTTTGCAGGAGTGGACATTTCGAACTTTTGTTACTGCCCGTAGCAGAATCAAAAAAGAAAAAAGAAAGTGTGCATCGGTTTAAGATTATGTTGTCTCTACTGTTTAATCTGAAATAAAATAATAAAGCTATTTTGAATTCATTGGAGAGGGCTAATTCTAGTCCAAGGCCCGATGTACAATAGGCACCCCGAAAATAGGTAATAGGTAAAACAAATTGATTGTCACATGGCAAAAATACAATAAACATTACATTTCTCTTTTCAGGAACCTCACTGGCTAAACAATTCAAATGACAGTAGCTTGTTAAGGTAGAGTGTTCCTGTTTCAGTTGTCCACTGGTCTGACTGAGACAATGATTTGAATATTTGAAGTCCAGTAGACATCTTTGTAATAATAGTTAAAAAAAAGTGCCCATTAAAGGTGGTTAGGGGGAAATTCTATGACCTAAAAATGAACAACTCAAACTGAATCAATTAATAATAATGGTATCACAGAACATGTTTGATAATCTTAATAAGATCTTGTGAATTGCTATTATTAGCTGCACAAGATTTTGCATATTCTGTCAAATTTCCTCCCTCTGTTCGAGTTTGTAATGTCAGGTGGTGGTGAGGTCACATCAGCTCTGGCGAAGAAAAGATATGTGGGGATGATAGCCAACTTGGAGGCATTCCCTTGTTCAGTGGGACTAATATGTTTAAATTCAAAAACATCATTTCAAGATATTTCACTGCAGGCTCACAATAGCAGGGCCTTCAGTGGAGGCTTTCCAGTTTCTATGCTATAATACACGGGGCTGAGGATTGTTCAAATTGTAGGAAATGTCCAGCATTTGTGTTTGCACAGACAACAGAGTTTTCACACAGGGCTTATGTCGGTCTGAACATAGCTCATGGAGTTACTCTGAAATTGCCCAAGAAAGGGTTGAATTTTAACAAATGGGATACCTTTAAATCTAACAACTAATGAGGATATAAATACAATTACTGTGTATTACTGATTACTGTAATAAGCAAACACAACATACAACTATGACAATTGCTGTACTTGGTGCACATTAAGAGCTACATTTTACATTGCAGCATAACTCTCTCCACAGATGAGGGAAAAAAATCTACACGAGCCAGCCAGGAGTCGAACCTAGAATCTTCTGATCCGTAGTCAGACGCGTTATCCATTGCGCCACTGGCCCGCTACAACCCTTTTGACAAAAGACTAGCATGGAGCACAAACTCCACCCTCACATTCCTGAGTGACTCAGCCGGGACTGCTTTCAGAAGGACCAACATGATTCTTTCTGGCAGGGGAAGAAGGGGGGGAGGGGGTCTACTACTTCGCAGCCTCTTGTTGTTACGGATCACTCTACCTGCCTTTGAGTCTGGAACAGTTGACTGCAGAGCTTTGAATCTTTCTGATTTTACCTACACTGTTGTCCCTGGAATGGAGACGTAGCTGGTCTGACTTAAGCAAACATGGCACATAGTGTAACTGCAATGTCTCCAGGCAGGACACAAGCCACCTCTAAGCCGTACAGGACAGTAATACCTACAGACGCCTGTTCAGCTAAATTCTGGCAATACAGTGCACAGAATAGCTTATCAGCGGGGGGGG